ATTTTTAAATGTTTTAAATGCTTTTACTTGTTGTGAGCCGCCCAGAGTCCCTAGGGAGTGGGCGGCATACAAATCCTATTAAAGTTTAAAGTTTATCTGTGATGGGTAGAGTCATGTACATGAGTTGGGCTGCTTTATAAATTGGATAAGGGAAAGATGAAAGGACAACACATCATTTAATAAATAAATAAATTAAAAGGAGCATGGAAGAACAGCTGCTTCGTGCTGAATACGTCCATTAGATCTGGCAGCAAACTGAAGAAGGGCCAGTCCACACCAGAGGAATGCTAAGTACTATAAAAGAGCCTTTACATTCATCCAAGAGGCTCTCTAGATCACACATCTTGTTCAAAGAGCATATATCTGGCAATTATATATGCACACACAGACGGTTCTTTGAAGTCCTCTCCATTGAATGGTTCTCTGCCAGACCAAAAATAAAAATAAAAATGGCTTGGCAGCTGAAAAGCAGTTCACAGTATTTTTGGGTGAACCCCTTTCTGCTGCCTGACAAAACCTCCATCTTTAGTTCAGCTCTGCTTGGATTCTGGTAAACAAAGGCTTTTTGCTTTTGAGAGAAGGAAATCTGTCCGCCGCGCCCCGCGCCCACCCAGCTTTTCAGGATCTTTCAGTGTTGCTTCAAGACTGAAAAGCCTTTGACTTTATAGTTCCCTTACTGAAAAGTTAAAAGATTGGTATTGGCTGTTTTGCACATGCTGAGAGAATGGTTTCTTTTAAAATACAGCTGGATCATCTAAAATGGCAAATTTACCAGCCAAATACAAACAAACCATACCAGAGTTTAACATGTAACACTAATAATTATGGCTTAGTACAATATATGAGTCCAACTCCTACATTCTACAATTATTATTTATAGTTTAGTCAAATTATAGTTAACAATATCATGACTGGGTGTGATACATGAAGCCAACTATTACAGAAAGATCTTCTAGGGGCTAGGCAAACCAGTTTGATTCTATAATATATATATATATTATAGAATAGGAAGGGACACTTTAATCTAAAGTAGAATTGAGCAATCTCTGATTAATTTGCAGTAGCTAACAATGTTTTCCATGTTTTAGGCTGTAAATATTTTTTTAAAATTTTGGCCTCTTTTTCCTTTTTTGTAGGTGTGAGCTTTGCCACAAGACAAATTGCTAATTTGACCAAACCTACCACCATTATTGAGGTGAACGGTGATACAATTACCATCAAAACCCAGAGCACTTTCAAGAATACGGAGATCATTTGCAAAGTGGGAGAAGAATTTGATGAGACAACAGCAGATGGCAGGAATGTGAAGGTAAAGACCTGATCACTACGATTTGAGCAGTGATCTTGGCCATTAGCATCTACTCACCAATTGGAGGGTTTCTTGGTCCATCAAAATTAGCACTGACGGCTCCAATTAGTGTCTACTGTTGCCTTGTTTTGCTGGCTATTTAAAAAAAAAGGGGGGGGGGTTAATTACAAAAAAGTTAACTGATTGCTTAATTTCTCATATGGAATATTGCCACACCTACATGAGAAATGTGGTTCTATATACTAAATTAATTCCCTCTCCCACAGCACCTCAAGACAGCTCACAAATATTTTAGAATACCATGCAGTATAAGCCAATAAATTAAAAAGATCCTTGCTCCTGGGGAGGAAAGCTATGGGAAATCTAGACAGCATACTAAAAAGCAGAGACATCACCTTGCCAACAAAAGTGTGTATAATCAAGGCTATGGTTTTCCCAGTTGCAAAGGATGGCTGTGAAGGTTGCACCATAAGAAAGGCTGAGTGCCACAGAATTGAGGCCTTTGAACTCTGGTGCTGGAGAAGACTCCTGCTAGTCCCTTGGACTGCAAGGCGATCCAACTGATCAGTCCTAGAGATCAACCCTGACTGCTTTTTAGAAGGGCAGATCCTGAAGATGAAACTCAAATACTTTGGCCACCTAATGAGAAGGAAGGGCTCCCTGGAGAAGACCCTAACGCTGGAAAAGATTGAGGGCAAAAGAAGAAAGGGACGACAGAGAATGAGGTTGCTGGAGGGACTCACTGAAGCAGCAGGCATGAGCTTAAATTGACTCCAGAGGATGGTAGAGGACAGGAAGGCCTGGAGGAACATTGTCCATGGGGTTGCGATGGGTCAGACACAACTTCGCAACTAACAAACAACCCACAGCATCTCAAGACAGCTGACAAATAATTTAGAATACCATGCAGTCAATGGTATATATTTGTGTTTATCATATTGACATTATGTGCCTAAAATGTATAGTATGATTTTGGGGCAAAATAAGATCCTTGCTGATAGATGAAAATTATCATAGGGCAAATCTCTCTTGATATGAGCTTTCCCTAGATACAAGCTAAGAAAATTCTCCTTGGTTGTCCTTTGTCCATTTATCATCATGGGTCATTTTGGATATTATATTTCAGGTGTCCTGTCTTCTAGATTAAGACAGGACAACTGGAATATAGTATTCAAAAAGTATCCAAGATGATGGAAGATTGAACAGGGGAAATTTGTCCTCCTTGCTCTTAAAAGAAGGAGGTAAGCCAAATTCACGGAGGAACAATGCTTCTCCTTAGTGGTGAGTCTCTCTTTTTCTTATAGAAGTAACACATGGTAAAATCTCGTCCGCCACTATTTTCTTATGGCCCTCAGGTTGGCTGGTGCTAAACCTGAAAGTTTAGATAAACTTTTAGCTTGTTCAGAATTCCATTCAGCCTTTCTGAAATCTTACATAGATAGTTGTGAAGGTTTGCATTGCGTTGTGTAGTCAAGGTTTGCCTATAGGGCGTCTTTCTATTGATCTGTAGCTTCAAGGACATTCAAAGTGTGTCATATCTGTGGACACAGTCTGAAGTTGAAGCCGTTTGTGTGTTTTACGTGAATGTCCCAGAGTATCACACCCACACTCCCTTCTTTGGTTGGGAGTTTATTCCTAAATAAACATTGAAACCGATCTTAACTTGGATACTTATTCACGAAACTGAACTCTTATCAGAACTTAGATAAAGTAAGCCCATTCATATGGCTTTCATCTTCCTGGTCCTTAAAAGGAACTTGTGCTCTTGGTTTTTGTTTAAGTAGTGGTAAATGACACCCTGACAGCAAAAAACCCTTGTGATGATTATTTTACTAGCTTAAAAGTGTACGCCCAGAGTTACCCTATGGTAAGATGGGTGGCCAATGAATTCAATAATACAATTCCAGTCCTGACTACTCCATAGCTATGACTTGACAGAAGAATCTTCCTTAGAGTTCAGCCTTGCCAGGATATTTAAAATTTAAAATTAGGACTGCAGGAAGCCATAAAGCTTCAGTTTTCAGTCTGCTTTGGCTATAGAACTTTACATGATAAGAAAATCAGACAATGGTTTCAAAGTAGTTATTTCTTTGGAGTAGTAGCCTTTTTACAATTAAATTGCATACAATTCCATTAGCTAGTATCATTCTTCTGAAAAGACACCTCTATCAAGGATTTGCTAAAGTACGTTGTTTTTTATTGTGATTANCTGTTCTGGTGTCTAATTGTTTGGGTGCGCAGTGCCCTATAGCCTCATTTTGAGGGTAGGAGTTGAAATAATTTATATCCAGGATGCGAGGGGTCTGTAAATATGTTCACAGCCCTCCTTTTAATTCGTGCAGGATACAGGTCCTCAGTGGAAGGCAGGTTGGCAGTAATTGTTTTGTCTGCAGTTCTGATTATCCTCTTGCTAACCCAATGAATTGGGATGACTGTAATTCATACAAATGATACACAGATGCTCCTTTGTGTTGGTGGCAACGCAGAAGTCAAACCCACAAAGGGCTACTGCAAAAGCCCGGTCCTGAGGAGCCATGAGAATGGGGAGCCACCTGGTAAGGGGAGCAGACTGACCCAGAGAAGGAGAGCCCCCACCAGCAAGTTCCTTCCTACCACCTTTCAAAATTGGGAGAGGGACCTTCAGTAGGTGCTCTGGCCACCTAGACTGGGTTTTAGAGGTGATAATTATCCAGGACCTGTAGTTGCACTTACACAATGCAACGGCTGCGGTGTAACGTGGTAGTAAGGAACCTGAGCAGCCGGCCCAGGGTCAGATGTATGCTGCTCCTGCCCCCCCCCCTTTCAAATTGTTCCAGTGTGGTCTTCAAGGTAAATGAGACTGAAAAACTCTGTCATATGACATGTGGAATGAGTGACTGTCCTTGGGAGTCATTTGAAGCATGTGGATACAAAGCAAATGACACCTTGAGTTTTTTTTTTCCATTGCTCAGAGATAAAGCAGCAAAGAGATATGTTTGCAAGGGTTTGGATTTTAGGGCTTTAGATTTACCCGAGCTACTCCTTGTGTAAACTCATTTGCTGTGTGGTAGATTTAATCGGAATTCTCTTTTGGGCCGGCCAGGCGCCTGGCTATCTTTGTTTTCGCCTCTCTCTCTCTCCCCAACCCATTTGGCATCTGGTAGCAATTTCTGCAAGAGGGAGAGCGCAGCAGCAGCGTGTATTTCACTGAATGAGAGGGTGTGTAGAGGTGGGGTGATTGTTCATGTGATATGTCCTTTTCTGCCAGAAGCTGCTCTGATAGGACAAGGCTCTGCTAAGGCTCTCATGAGTAAACCTAGAACCCTGGAGGGCTTTCCTGCAACTTAAGGGCTTTAAGGAACGGATGCACTCAATGTGTGTGTGTTGTAAGGGGAGAAGGTGTGGGGCTATTGGCTCATTCAGCTGGCTGGTATAAAACTGGGCTGTTTTACAAACTCTCCCCCCTCCACTCCTTTCTGGGCCTGATTCTGCAAGAACAAGACTTCTCTGACCTCTTAACTCCTATGTAGGCTTGGCTTTAAGTCGACTTTGCACAGCTCTTGCCTAGCTTAGTTGGGTGCGGTTGTTAATTACTTTTGCAGATAGCAGGGATTAAAATTCTGGCGTCCCCCCCCCCCCACATTTCTCGTGTGCTGAGTAAGGAAGGGTCGTTAACCAGGTGGATTCCCACTGTGGTTAGCAGGCCTTTGTTTCTGCCCAAAACAAAGATAGGATGATTGCAGAGGAAACATTTGCATTCATCTCCCAATTCTCTATATTACATGTGTATCCTGTCTTTTATTCAGAAGCCCCAGAGAGGAAGCCCAGCGGTTCTTAATTTTAATTTTCCCTGATGAAACTTCTGGGGAAGTGGGTGGGGCAGGGAGAGTGATTGGTCAAAAGACCCTCAGGGACCATCTGTGGCTGGAGGTGGAGTAGAAAGTGAGTCATCTTGACCACTCTTTTTCTTTTTTTAAAAGGCCCTTGACTTTTAATGCTTAGTAACTATTTGACGTTAGGAGAGACTTCCCCAGGGCTATCACTGAAGTTCTGATATCAAGACCCCCTCCTTGGGGGTTATGAAATTGCGTTTTAGGTGCTCTACAACTGAGTGCATAGGGATGCAGTGGCTAAGACGCGGAGCTTGTTGATCAGAAAGGTTGGCAGTTTGGTGGTTCGAATCCCTGGTGCTGCATAATGGAGTGAGCTCCTGTTACTTGTCCCAGCTTCTACCAACCTAGCAGTTCGAAAGCATGTAAACATGCAAGTAGAAAAATAGGAACCACCTTTGGTGGGAAGGTAACAGCATTCTGGGCGCCTTTGGCGTTTAGTCATGCCGGCCACATGACCACGGAGAAGTCTTCAGCGCTGACTCTTCGGCTTTGAAATGGTGATGAGCACTGCCCCCTAGAGTTGGGAACGACTAGCACATATGTGCAAGGGGAACCTTTACCTTTACAACTGAGTGCATTTATAGCCAATTGCAGTATCTTGTGGTCATAACTTATTGGTCCTAAGTTGAGGACCATCTGTAATTATTGAAACATAAATCTTACCACTCTACTTTGAGTAGTTCCATTAGCGCCCCCCCCCTCCTAGTTAACTCATGTAAGGTTCTGCATTTACGGAGAGGGGAGAAGCTTTTAGCTGATTATGTGTATTTTAAAAAAATTAAAAAGAAATAGGAAAGCAAACCTACTGCCATAATATAACAGGATTTTTCCATTAAATTCTGCTGAGTGGAACCCTAGGCATTTGCCAGAAATTGCCAGGGTTAGAGTAGAGTTCATGAAGGCAGGAATGAGAATGATTTATAACGGGGTGGTATTTGCAACCTATCTGCATCTTCAAGGGAAAATGCTGGCGATTTGTCAGGATTTTTATGGCAGTTTTCATTCCTTTGACTCTTTTCAAACCACCTTGAAGCTGAAGCTTTAAAGGGAAAGTTTACTTAGCAGCTACACCATTATATAGGTAGCACAATAATTTAAAAAAAAAGAATTCTTAGATGCAGTGATGAGGAAGCATATGCTCTTTATTTTTATGAATCAAAACAACCTTGATAAACTGTAGTTTAAACTGGGGGGTGGTGGTAGAGAGCTTGCTTGAATCTGGGACTTTCTAGTTCTTGATTTCCAAGCAGTTCCAGTACCAATGTACAGTATGTGTCGAGCCAAAAGACAGCACAACAAAATCCAAATGTCAAAAAGGTGTCAAACTGATGGCATCATGTTGTACTGGGACTTTTCCCCCCTTTGCTAAACCAGGGGTGGGTGTGGCCAGTGCGTGATGCATCCAGCCTGCGGGGCCGCGAGGTTGATACTCCTGCTTGATTTGCTTACATCTAGTAGAATCTTGCCAGACTAAAGCTGTAACCCTCTACTCAGATAGCAGTAGACTTATATACCGCTTCATAGGGCTTTCAGNAAAAGCCTGCCAAAACAAGTTGGTTTTCACTGCTTTGAAAATACATGTTTGGGAATAACAGAAATAGTGAAACTTATTGCCAACACAGAGATGAGATGGGCAGTTAAGAAGTGTGGGATATAAGTGTGGGAAGAATCCAACACCTTGGCATGGTAGAATCATACTTACTAAACATAAAATATTGACTGGCTATTCTATAGGAGGGAATAAAATCAACAGAAAAAGTGGAATGAAGTGCTTTTCAAGAAGACTGGATGAAATAGTGAACAGGAATCCTCCACACTACATTTTGTTGCAGGGTCTCTTGGTGCAGCTGTCCCCAGCCCTTTTGGCATCAGGTTTCATGGAAGACAATTTTTGGAGGGGGGGGGGAGGAACAACACACAAACTAGATCCCTCGCATGTGCAGTTTACAGTAGGGTTCGCTTGGCTACCTCCAGCTATGTGGCCTGGTTCCTAACAGGTCAAGGACTGGTACGGGTCCATAGCCTGGGGGTTGGAACCTCTGTCTTGGTGGTCTCTTTGACTGAGCTCAAAAGAACTCTTGGATCTTTACACCTTCTTCATGACAAGTCATACTAGAAAGACCTTTGGTATAGAGAAGAAAGAAAGATTAGAGGTATGGAGATTTCACTTACTCAAGGACAACATTATTGGGGTCTAAGTCGTTTCCAGTTCCTTGGTTAACAACTTTCATGGAAAGAGATAATTTCAGTTTCTCATCCGTCTTCTGAAAACACAAGGCAATACATTTTGATTTTTGTTTCATTCCCAGATACCCGAGACAAAAACTGAAGTTGAGGTTGTACCGATCATTTTAACGTACTCTACTTCAATCACTGCAATATATTAACATAAAATACATTAGCTATTCACAATGAGCTTTCAGATAGAATCAACCTATTTATGATTTAAAGCAGAACTGGACTGGATATTTCAGACTGGGTATTATGTAATATGTCATGTGTAAATAACTTTGATTGAGTTGCATACTGTTACAAGAAATTTACAAAAGGATCAATTTTTGAACTCTTGTAAGCGTATCATTCATAAAACTCAATCTCATTCAATTCCATGTTTATTTAAAATTCCAATGAATTTAGATTTTCAGACTGCATGTTTTTTCAGTAGCTTTGCCTGTGAACTTCAGAGTAAATGTTAAGACTCTGATATCATTCCTCTTTAATAAAAAATGTTTGTACAGTAAATGCTAACTATTAAAATCTTTATTTGGTAGAAATCAATAAATGGAGCCACAAATTTACCTCTTTTCCTATAAGTTTCACCCACACTTTTTCTCCAACATCCACCATCTCTGAAGGTTTGTCTACTCTACAGTGTGACATTTGGCTTTTGTGAACAAGGCCTATGGCAATAACAAGAAAGAGAGAAAATATTATATTTTCTGTTAGAAATGAATAAAATAATTTTCTAAAACAATCTACATTCTACAAAGAAACTACTCAATTTTGTTTTCTATTCATTTCCCCATAATATAGGTAATTCTCAACTTACAACATGTTCATTTAGTGACTGTTCAAAAGTTGCAACAGCTCTGAAAAAAGTGAGTTATAACTGTTTTACAACTGTTGCAACACCCCCATAGTCATGTGATTAAAATTCGGATGCTTATCAATTGATTCATATTTATGATGGCTGCAATGTCCAGGATCATGTGATCACCTTTTGTGACCTTCTAATAATCAAACTCAATGGGGAAGCCAGATTAACTTAATAACTACAATAATTCACTTAATAACTGTGACAAATAAGGTCATAAAATAGGCAAAATTCACTTAACAACTGTCACTTAGCAACATAAATTTTGGGTTTAATAGCGATAAGTCAGTGACTAGGAGTGTAAGCTTGGTGTAAACCACCAAGGTTACTTGGGAATGGGTATGCTCAATACTTATAAATGGAAAAGTAACACAAATCACTATACTAACAAAAGAATGTCAACCCAATAATCACCAGCAATAGCAATAACAGTTAGACTTATATACTGCTTCATAATGCATTTACAGCCCTCTCTAAGTGGTTTACAGAGTCAGCATATTGCCCCCAATAATCTGGCTCCTCATTTTATCCACCTCNTTTTTTGTCAGGACAAGGAGTTTGTTTCATGCTCATGGGAAGCCTCGGTCAGAACACACTGATCTTAGTGTGACACTATAGAACAGGGGTGTCAAACTCACATTGTCATCTCGTGATATATTGGGACTTTTTTCCCTTTTCCTCCCTGCAGGCTGGGAGTTTGACAGCTCTGCTATAGAAGCATGATTCCCTGGGAGATGTGGCCTTAATATAAAATCCAATCAGGGATAATTCCAGTCCTCTAGCTTCCAAAAGGACCTTGTACTCTGCAACGAAATTGCCATTAGCCATGAGTGGGAATAGTGGCTGGAGTGAAAAAGAATTTCTTGGCAGGATGATTGTAGGTAGAATTAGTTATAGTGTTGTCTCATGAAAGCCTCCTCCAAATCCTTCAATTTCTTTAAGTATTCTTCACCTACTCATGGAAAATTTTACTTAGCTAATCCTTTCTCTTGTGCATTGCTCAAGGATCTTCAGCAATCCCTTTGATGGTAATTACCCCATTTTCCTTTGATGCAAAAAGAGGAAGGATTAGGAAGCTATTGGGGTTGGGAAAGGTTTCTTAGATTTATCCATGATAGAAGAAAAAAAATATTTACCGTCCTTTCCAGAGGCTAAATTGTGATTCCAATCAGGAGGCTCTGTGGCTGTTATTTAAAAAAAAATAGAGCAAACTAGTTATATAGCATTTCACATAACATGCAAAGTTATCTAATCTAATCTGGCCTTCTGCTTCGAAAGACTACTGTTATACCTGACTAATGCAAACACAAGCAGCAAAATGGGCAAGTCACAATTGTAAACTCAATTGCCTTTTAAAAATCTTGCATAATCCCTTTTTTCCATTCATAATCCCCAAGCTGTCTAGCTATGAAATGAGCATGATTGTTTCTTTCTACAGTCTATTGTGACACTAGATGGAGGGAAGCTTGTTCACATACAAAAATGGAATGACAAGGAGACCTCACTGGTTCGAGAAATAAAAGATGGCAAGCTGATTTTGGTAAGAGAACCAATACATTCCCTACCCCCCCATCCCGGCAACTGGTAACTTCTTTTGTGGGGAGAAGTTCACTTGGAAATTGTTGAGATGGAGTGATACCAAAGCACTTCTAGACAGTGAAAATTAACTAGTATTAATTGGGAAGTCTGAATGATTTCTTCTTTCAAATGAATGAACCATCAAAGGGAGCATAAAACCAAATAATGCAGCTTGCAGCATCCCTGGTTTAGTTACCTGGAAATATCTGATTTCCAGAAACTCATTGTGTGCAAAATGCTTCAAGTTCAAAACACGTGGTTTAGGATGAGAAGTGGATTATTTGGCCCATTTTAGTAAGTGCCTTGGCACCCTTTCGAAGTCTGGTGATTCAATCTGGGACTTTGGTGCTCAAAAAGTGTGTTTCAGATTTGAAAACATTTTCACAATCCTGCCAGAAATATCTTCAGCCTTGAAAAACACTTTTGAGCATAGAATTGATCAACTGCTGATTAACAGAATTGATCAATTCAACTCTTAGTTCTTTCCTCTGGGGAAGAGAATATAGACTTCTTGGACAAAAACTAGAGTAAATAATCTTAATGTTTAGGCCAAGTCTTTATTCTATTACAAAACGGTAGGGAACAATCCTTTATTCATAGAGAAATATAGCCATAGGGCTGACTTAACCCATTGTATCATACTTTGGTTTATTTTAATTCAATTTAATATGCAGGGCAAGTCTGGCTCATTTTTGGTTAGCAAAATAATGGTTAATGCCTTTGTAAATTTGGCAAAAACCAAGCCTGTAATAATTACAGCGCAGTAAGTGATAATGTTCTTTCCCATAGGCAGATTTTCCTTCAGCATTTCAGGATAATTGTCTTATGTATCATCTTCTCTTTCAGACTCTGACAATGGGTGATGTGGTCTGCACTCGTACCTACCAGAAAGATAACTAGAAAGTGTCTACCTCCTTCCTACTGTAATACTATTTTTCACTGCCAAATTGCTGATGCTTTTTTCTTTCTTTATGTTTTGTACACTTACTGGAATTTTGGAGACCTTTCAGTATCCAACTTGAGCTCTCTTCATAAGTGCCAGTCATCCTGACCTTTATGGAGTTTTGGGTGTGACCACACATTTTTACCATCGAAGAGATCTTTAAAAAAAACAGTAATAAAGTGAATCAATTGTTACAAAAAAAAAAAAATGCCTAGTTGAGTTGACTATGCCTCATTTAAAATCCCACATTTTCATCAAAATTGAAGGTTAGTTTCTATTTATCTACCTGACAGAGGCAGTTACTATGTTCATGCTGTTGCATGTCTGAAGCACTTAGGAAACTTGAGTATACAAGTCTGAATTAGATCTCACTGCTGCCTGCTAGTAATTGGCAACCAAGCCACAGAATCTGCCATACAGAGGTGTGCTTGCCTTCTACAAAATTACCATATTTTTACCAGTTTGCGAGACAAAATATGTGTAAGACTGATATTGGATTAGACCTGTCCAATCTCATCCTTGTATTCTAGATCAGTCGGTTTTCCAAAACTACACATTCCATTGCTTATCAGTCAAGATTGTTTTTCCCATCACAAATATTACTAAAGATCTAGTACAAGATTAGTCAAGATTCTCCCAGCTAGTTTACAAATTGTCTCATCAGTCTGCTAGCTGCAGGGTGATTTGATAGACAGAGAACTACCTGTGTTATCTACAAGGCTGTTTGACATCAGAGTGGAATCTCTTGAAGATCTGAGTTATGAAATTCCTTTTCTAGTGTGGGATGTAATGCCTGTAATTTTAAACATTACATAGCATGCACAGACCCTGTTTTCAGATGTTGTTATAATGGCTAGGATAGTCCTGTATCTTTATTTGGCTTGTTTGTATATAAATTAGCCCTAGAAACATGAATATGGCTTATTTATCAATTCAGTTTTAGGGAGGCACAAAAATAGCCAGAATGGATCATATACGCAGCAGCAAGCAAACTGAAATCACTCAAACAAAAACCTCTGGGTCGAGTGAACAACTTTTAAAGTACACAAGACAGGTTGGGAAATATGTGCCACATGAGTTTTATTTTCTCCTGCTGTCAGCAACAGTATTTCCAAAGCACTACATGATTCCTGGGAGGGTTGTATCATTTTTGACCAAAATTTCTTGGTCTTTTGCTTTAGTCAGTTTCTAGAGATTCTCCAGTGTATGCATTTAGGGAGGAGCATATATTTCTCCTTTCAGCTACTTTAAATGAAGCACACTCAAACAATAGATGTCTTTGCAGACAGCACCATCTCCTAAAGCGGTATTTCTCAACCTCGGCAAATTTTAAGATCCGTGGACTTCAACTCTCAGAATTTCCCAAGCAGCATTCAGTTCTGGGAGTAGAAGTCCACGCATCTTAAAGTTGCAAAAGTTAAGAAACACGGTCCTAAAGCATTTTATCTGAGTGACCGGTTATCTCCAAGTATTTCCAATGAGTTTCTTATAGAGACAAATCATCAAATTTTATATAACAGAAAACCCTATTTGTTTCTGGTTGTGTCGATCTAAATTGCATTGGACACTTAAAACATTTTATACTTTCCTTCTGGAGTATCAGTACGTGAGACAAAAGTAAAGCAATGTACTTGAGCTTTGCTTATATCAGCACTACGATTACTGACATCAATGTTGTACCCTCCAGGAAGGCAAGAATGCCAGTTATGTATTTTGAATTTATGTCACCAGCTAAGGGTACTTAAGCATTACATTAGTGTTGCATTTCTACATCTACGAAGTTAGCTACAGCTCAACAACCTAGGCTTTTGAATAAAAATGTTGTCAAGTCCTTTGGGCTGCCATGGACTAATGCAACTCTCCTGCTACAGTTTCTACACTAGATAAACAAGAGGCTTGTTCCAAATGTTAGGATAACTTAAACAGAAGATATCCAGTTGACAATTCATGGGAAGGTCTACCTGACTCATCAACCCCTCCCTCTTATCTTTGCAAACTAAAAATAAAAACATTAACTGGCATGCACTGGAGAGAGGAACAATCCTGGGTATTACTTTATATGCCTTTATTCATCCAATATATCTGGTCAATAATTATTTTGCACACTGCTCTTGAGAGACTTAGGGCTTCTGCTGGAAAAATAAGACTGCAACTGGCATGCTTTGGCTGGCATGCCAATTGCAGTCCTACCCTATCTTAACTGTAGTGACTCATGCCCTTGTCACCATCTGCTTAGATTACAGCAACACACTACATTTGAAGATCATTTAGTTTTCAGTTGGTTCAAATTACAGGAGCCTGTGTGTTGACTGGTCTTTGCTGGTGGGATCATATCATACCAGTAATGAAAGTCTTGCACTAATTGCCAATGGCCTTTCAGATGCAATTGAAAATGCTAACTTATGTAACTCCATGAGACTTGGCCCTTATTTGCAGGACTGCAGTCTCCCATTGGAATAAGTCTGGGCAGTTTGATATACTCAAGAAAAAATATTAGCTGCATCCTTTGGAATTGGGGGGTGGCTAAAGCTCTATGACACTGCGTGGCTGGATGGCAAGGACCAGTTCTTTGAAACAGCTTCCAACTGCACATCTGACAGGCTCCAAACCTGATTACACCCTAGAATTGCTCAAAACAGATAGCACTTGGGTCTTAATCTTAGTTGGGCTACAATTTAGCTATTTTGTTACTTTATGGCTTCATTCGCTGGTGGACCTTTGAGTGATATATTTTTGTTATTGTGTATCATTCCTTGTGCATTGTGTAATCTTTAGTCCTTATGCATGCACCACACAGAGGCACTTTGTTGAAACGTATATTCAGCAAAGTGGCCCTTCAAAAAAATTAGCAGCTCTATTACAGACCCCACCTTAAAAACTTTATAAACCAAGCTGAAAACTTTTAAGCATGCAACAGCTTTTCCTTCCAACACAAAAAGCAGATAAGACTACACTCTGCAGAAACTTATGTATCCAGTATGTATTGTGTCAATCACAAAGTAGGAAAATTCAATAATACACAAGCAGTTGTTTGCTTTGAAGAACTTCTGAAGGTAATATAGGCACGGACAGGTTATTTTTGGCAATTATGGTTCTTGGAGAATTACATTTCTGAGAAATAGTACTATGCTAGAGGCATGAACTGTAAGACATGTACCTTACCTAATCTCTGATCAAAGAAAGTTTAGTTACACACCTTATATAAGTTGCCTTAGATTTCCTAAAGGCAGAAATACAGGATATAACTAAGACATAAGCTTCAAAGTTGCCAGGTTAATACAGAAAAGCTGGCATGCCAATGGTTATGTCACTGACTGCATCTCTGCACTCTTAATAACTAAAATAATATAAGGTGTGTGTGTGTGGGGGGAATTATTTCAAGTTGGATTTTGCTCCTGGTATTTCATGGATTTGTGCTGCTTTAGGGTTTTTTTGTAACCAGAAGTCACTACTGGTATGTTATCTCTGATTTCTGCCAGGCTGTTC